GTGCTCGACAGCTTTCCCCAAGGCAAGAGCGCTCAAACAGCATGTCATACGTATGCATTACGCCATGGTTTCACAGGTGGAGTGTCACACGTGTGATGGAGCTGTTTGCAGGGTGTGCGAAACAGAATTTGCATCCAGAAGACAGCTCAGGGACCATCTAGCATACGACTCAACAAGGTGCTGCCTCTCTCACCTCATGCACGGCATGCAGCTGTCTGCCGCAGCAGCGGAGGAGGCTGCAGAGACAGACCACTAGCACGGACAGGACCAGCGAAAGGCAGGTCTTGGACGATGGAGAGCGGCGCACCCAGCTATCCCAGCTCAATGCGACGACGGTATGCTCTGGGAATCAGCATGGGCATTTTCACATCTGGAGGAAGATGCTGCCAGAGAGGTTTTGCGAGAATCCAGCTACGAGCTTACTCCTGAAGCGCTTCTGACCATGACCGATGTCTGGTACGAGCGACCTGGCCCAAGGCCCTTGGATGCCATCGACCCCGCTCAGGAAAGATACTACCTTTTTCCGACCTCAGGACATTCAGGAGCCAGCTACACAGCAGGTACCTTGGAGGATACAATGATCGGAGGTATACATATATGTACAGGGGGAGAAGACGGACATGGGACATAAAACACCACATCGACAACATGAATGTGGGCACGCACGTCATATGTACTGTAATTTCCATTGGCATACCTATCGACACTATATGATGCGTCATCACGAGGCGAAACGCATTCGAGATGTGGGCCGAACACATCAGAGCACGGAGAGTCTGGGTCACGGGAGGGATTCCCCCATGTGAGACCTGGAGTGCCGCCCGATGGGAAAAAGGGGGACCCCCCCCACTCAGGACCCACATTCACTATGGGGTTGTGCCATGGAGCACACACAAGCAGGCGATCCAGCTCGAGATGGGGAACAAGCTACTCCACTCCCTCATCCTCCCCATGGCTGAGCATGTCAAAGCAGGCACGAGCGCATGGCTTGAGCCCAACCAGCTGTGCGGAAAGCGCAGGCAATTTCCAGTTTCACATGACTTCCGCTCAGAGCAATAGAGTGTTGCCCAGTTGCCAGTGCCATCGATTTTGACCAGTTCACGCTGCAGGATGCACCACCCGAGACGATAGGAAGGGCCCCCACCAGGATACTCGCTTTGAGGCTCCTGAAGATGTTCCAGTATCTCACGGCCGTCAACAGAGGGAGGTGTTGCAACGATGAAGGAATACATACCACACTACTTGGCAAAAGAGAGAGGATAATCGAACTGTAGGACCAGCTCCAAAAAGACATACTCCGACATGATGTGTGCCGCCATAGCAAGGGCTATGCATGACGCAGTTCAGAGTGCATGGCCATCGGAGGAAGACAATGATATACCACTTCCTCCCCCCACCTCAGATGTGGCCCCTGAGGAAGGGGAGGATACGATCGATGCAGGACTTTCTGATTTCAGGGTCGAGTTAACAGAAGAGTTCTGGGAGGCACCAGATTTTGCGCAGCACACAGCGACTTCCAGAACACGTGGTGATCCTGAAATGTACAGATGGATCCCTCCCCCGCCCTCGCCTCCTGTTGGCTTCCGCCCCTCCCCGGCCGAGGAATCCGGCCACCCACCGCCGCAGGATCGCCACCCTGCGCCCATGGACTCCACGCCCAAGGAGGCCGGAGCTCTTTCAGCAGTGGACGGGGTTCCCCTTTCTCTTTTCCCTTCTTCGCCTCCTTCGGCTGCTCCCCCTCCCCCGCCCCCTGCCCCCGTCCTTACTCACAGCTGACCAGCTGGCCAGGATCGCAGCCAACAGAGCTGAGGCCAAAGCACGTCGACACAGACGGGTGGCTCCCTGGACTGGCCAGCTTTCTTTCAAGTTTGACTCTGTGAGTTGACCTGGGCCCTCTCTTTTGTACAGATCCTGGGCTCCTCCCAACAAAGTTTTTTTCAGAGTCGAGCACGCCTTCACGACACTGCCATCGTCCGCCGCCGCCTCCCCCTCCTCCTTGCTTCCTGCATGTCGCCCACCCAGTGCAACGTTTCGTGGTGTTCCCCTCGGCGCACCCGTCACGAGGATCGTGGCCCCACAGGAGCTCCACCGAAGGCTCCAGTGGCACCGCCCGCATACGTCAGCCACACCCACTTCGGCACACCCCTCACGAGGATAGTGGCCCCATAGGGAGATCACCGAAGGCCCCAGTGGCAAGGTTCGAATGGCGGCCTCGGGCCATTTCGGCACCCCCATCACGAGGATCGTGGCCCCCATAGGAGCTCCACCGAAGGCCCCAGTGGCAGGGTTCGCATGGCGGCCTCGGGCCATTTCAGCACACCCCTCACGAGGATCGTGGCCCTATAGGGAGCTCCACCGAAGGCGCCAGTGGCAGGGTATTTGGGCACACCCCTCACGAGGATCGAGGCCCCACAGGAGCTCCACCGAAGGCGCCAGTGGCAGGGTTCGCATGGCGACCTCGGGCGATTTCGGCACACCCCTCACGAGGATCGTGGCCCCATAGGGCGCTCCACCGAAGGCGCCAGTGGCAGGGTTCGCATGGCGGCCTCGGGCCATTTCGGCGCGCCTCTCACGAGGATCGTGGCCCCATATGAGCTCCACCGAAGGAGCAAGTGGCAGGGTTCGTATGGCGGCCCTGTCCCATGTCTGCACACCCCTCACGAAGATCGTGGCCCCATAGGGAGCTCCACCGAAGGCCCCAGCAGCAGGGTTTGCATGCGTCCCCCCGCCCATTTCGGCACACCCCTCACGAGGATCGTGGCCACATGGGGAGCTCCGTCGAAGGAGCCAGTGGCAGGGCTTGCATGCGTCCCCCCGCCCATGTCGGCGCACCCCGCACGAGGATCGTGGCCCCATAGGGAGCTCCACCGCAGGCCCCAGCAGCAAGGTTTGCATGCGTCCCCCCGCCCATTTCGGCACACCCCTCACGAGGATCGTGGCCCCATGGGGAGCTCCGTCGAAGGAGCCAGTGGCAGGGCTTGCATGCGTCCCCCCGTCTATGTTGGCGCACCCCTCACGAGGATCGTGGCCCCATATGAGCTCCACCGAAGGAGCCAGTGGCAGGGCTTGCATGCGTCCCCCCGCCTATGTTGGCGCACCCCTCACGAGGATCGTGGCCCCATATGAGCTCCACCGAAGGAGCAAGTGGCAGGGTTCGCATGGCGGCCCTGCCACATGTCTGCACACCCCTAACGAGGATCGTGGCCCCATAGGGAGCTCTACCGAAGGCCCCAGCAGCAGGGTTTGCATGCGTCCCCCCGCCCATTTCGGCACACCCCTCACGAGGATTGTGGCCCCATGGGGAGCTCCGTCGAAGGAGCCAGTGGCAGGGCTTGCATGCGTCCCCTCGCCCATGTCGGCGCACCCCGCACGAGGATCGTGGCCCCATAGGGAGCTCCACCGAAGGCGCCAGAGGCAAGGTTCGCATGGCGGCCCCCCGCCCATTTCGGTACACCCCTCACGAGGATCGTGGCCCCATAGGGAGCTTCACCGAAGGCCCCAGCGGCGGGGCTTGCATGCTGGCACACCCCTCACGAGGATCGTGGCCCCATAGGGGGTTCCACCGAGAGCGGTACTCACAGCTGCATATGGTTGGGTCCTTCGCCAGGATAATATTCGAGAGCGTGGGCGAGGATGAGGATGATTTTTCCATTGGCTTTGTGATTTGCAAAAAGAGGACGGCGAAGAGTATGAGGTGAAGGAGCAAAAGGCCGAGGATGACGAGGACGTTGGGGACGAAGTGGGGAGAGGGCTGGAGTGTGCGAGGAAACGTACGACGACGGAGGGGGCGTGACGGACGAGTTCTGTGCCAGGTGAGCTCGGCACGTAGGATGATGGAGGGGGCGTGACGGACGTGACGAGTTTTGTGCTGGGTGAGTTCGGCACTGGTTGAGATCGGCACCGGGTGAGTCCGGCATGGGGCGAGCTACTCACCAGGTGAGCCAAGCACCCGGTGAGATCGGCGGGCACGGCGTACATTAGGCGCCAGGGAAGTCCTCCACCGGCTGAGTCAGTCACCGGATTAATTAGTCAGCGGATGAATTAAGCACCGAATGAGTTCAGCACCGGATGAGTTAGCCACCGGATGAGTTAAGCACCAGATTACTTAGTCATCGGATGAGTGAGTCACCGGATGAGGTAAGCGACGGATGAGTTCAGCACTGGGTGAGTTTGGCACGGGGCTAGGTGAGTTAGGCTAGCGCCTGATGTGAATGAAGCCCCAAATGAGGTCGGAACCGAGTCAATTCGGCACCAGATGAGTCTGGAACCGGATGAACTAGTCACCGGATGAGTTTGGCTGGATGAATGAGGCACCAGATGAAGTAACCCAGATGAGTTAGGCAACGGATGCATCAGGCCAGATGAGTTAGGCATCGGACGAGTTGGGCGCGGATGAATTAGGCATCGGATGAGTTAGGCCAGATGGGCCGGACCAGATGATTAAGCACAAGATGAATCAACCTCGTTGCGCCCCTGTCATTGCATCTAACTGCTGCCCGCGGACATGGCGGACCCGTCGGCTCTGTGGGGGCGTGCATGGGCGTGACGCAGCGAATGTCTTCCGTCTCCTCCTTCTCCTCCTCCGCTCCTCCGTCCTCGGCCACACGCACGAGTGGCCCTGGGCAAGAGTGACCTTGGAAGCGCGGTTGCCGATTGCTGCATGCGATGCGACAGTAGCGGTTTGCGTGCTTGGCTTTGCCGCCGCCCCTCCACCACACTCCCGAAAGCCGCGCACCAAACGTCACCCGGGCGAAAGGTCACTCCCAAACCTTCGGTGCATTCTTGTCAACACGGGGCCCTGAGCCTCTCGACCATCTCTGAAGGACCGCTGCTCTCTACAGGAGCAGTCCTGACGGCCACCAAACCAACAAAACACCCTCCAAGCGCCGAGAACCCCGAGGCATCGCCGCCGTGTTTTTCTAAGGCGCTGGAGGTCTGGCGGCCGTGCGCGTGCGGCCGAGCCTGCCCGCGCAGACGCCCGTGCGCGCGGGCGCCGCGTCCTGTGCAGGGGCGGCCGGTCGCTCCCACTGCGACACCTGCTTGGCTGGGGGGGGGGAGGGCCCGCCCCATGGCGGTGCGCACCAGGGGTGGTGGTTTCCAGGGAGAAGGACGGGGAGGAGAAGTGGCAGGACGAACGAGGAAAGGGACGAGGGGGAGGAGAACCAGTTCAAACCGAAAACGCATCAGCGATGTTGCAACACCTCCCCCTGTCCCTCTGAGCTCACTCTTCATCGGTCTCTACATAAATTTGTTTTCACTTCGGAAGTGCTCCGTTAGAAGACAACCGTCTGAGAATCCTCAACCGTTCTAAAACACCATTACTGGGACTTCAGCGCCACGAATCAACGTTACTTTTGCGTGCGGACGATCCCTCATCGTGCCAGAACATTATTCTGGGGACTGGAACACAACGAATCAACGTGGCTGCTGCGACGTCACAATCCCAAATCGTGCTCAAACACCATTTTGGGACGTCAGCCATAAGACGCCTTAGAACTACTGTAAGCTGAAAAAAACGAGTACGCGCGGCGCGAAAACGATAACCACATTTTGAAAAAGAAACGCCCTCCATCCGTGCAGCTCCTTCAAACTCTTAAAACGAATGTGAGCGGTACTAGTGCGAGAGCTACATTTTGAAAACGGCTCGCCCTCCATTAGTGAAACTCTTGCGAACTGTTAAGACGAACGCGTGCGACGCTAAAGCGAGAACCACACTTTGAAAACGACCCGCCCTCGATTCGCGAAACAGCACTAAACTTTAAGCTTAAGGACAACACATGGTTCGGACATCTCAAGCGAAACGCCCGGCGCGCCCTACCGACACTTCTCGGGGTGCGACGGGGATTAATTGTTTATGAGAGAAATGGATGGGGAAGCGGAATGATGATGATGATGCTGCTGCTGCTGATGATGATGATGCTGAGGAGGAGGAGGACGAGGAGGAGGAAGAAGGGAAGGAGAAATGAGGAGGATCAGGAAGATGAGAAGGAGGTGGAGGAGGATTAGGAGGAAGGTGCAGGACGAGGAGAAGGAGGAAGGGGGAGGGGGACCAGGAGAAGTGGAAAAAGGATGGGGAGCAGGAGCAGGAGGAGGACGTATCAGGGCCACCTTGGAGCTCTCGTGAATGCTCTTTGGGCTGCGTCGGGCTCGTCTTGGGCTCCAGTGGGGCCTCTCGAGGCCATCTTGGGAATTCTCGGGGGGGGTGGGGGGGGGTCTGGAAAGGTCTTGGGGCCATGCTGTGCTGGTCTGAGGCCGTATTGGAGGTGTCTTGGGTTGGGCTATCTTGGGCGCGCCTTGGGCCCTCTTGGAGTCTCTTGTGGGCCTCTTCGGTTTTCGTGGGCGCCTCCGATATCCTTCAGGGGGTGTCTAGGGCCGAGAATTGGAGAGATCCTTGACTGCCTCCAGCATTCTGCGCACCCACTGGTCGCACAATCCCGCTGAAAATAGGTCTCGCCCCTTGTCGGACAGTGACAGCGCCTGCTTCCAGTGCCTTCAATGCTCGCACATCCTGGCCACAAGTCCACAGCCACCGGCGAGGTTCATGTTCATTTTTCTCTAGCTCACCTTCCCGAGGATGACCCGCAGATGGCGAAACCACCCAGCAGTCTCGCACGCTCCGATTTTAAAGCTGTGGTTGATGAGGTCGGCTCCAACATTTTCGTTCGCATCCCCCCACCTGCGGTCAGTTCCTCACATGTCCGACGTTGTATTTAATGTCATTGGGCTCCATCTTCGCTTTGCCCCGTCTCCTGAAATCCTGCTGCGGCTCTCTGCCTTTCTCGCACGCGTCGGCCAATCTTGTGCTTCAACCTGCTCTGTATTACCCGCGCATCGCAAGAATGAGTGCATCGCTGAAGCTAGCGATGTTCGACTCAAGCTTCGCATCCCACGTGTCCTTGAGCAACCAAATCGCTTGTTGTCCCTGCCCGCATTTATCGCAAGCCAGGACCCCAGCGCTGCAGCTGATGGCGTTGGGCACCAGCTTCGCCTCCCACATGCCGCTAAGCAGGGACAGAGCGCGCTGCCACTGTCTGCCTTTCTCGCACGCGCTAATCCCAGCGGCGTAGCTGACTAGGGCTGGCCGCCGTCCACGAAATCTGAACGAAGTCGTTCATATTTGACGTCGGTCCCGATGCCTGAGTAGCGAGAGGAGAGCCACGAGCAAGGAGTGAGCAGGGAAGAGCGAGGAGGAGCGACGATCGACGAGTGAGGAGGGAGGAAGTAGCCCTCTTGGGGCGCTCTGGAGGCCCTCGTGGGGCTGGCAGGAAAGAGACCCGAGGTGGGAGGAATGAGCGAGTAGCCAGGAGTGAGGGGCGAGGGGCAACGAGGGAGGAGCGAGCAGCGAGAAGAGCAGGACTCGGTGAGAGAGGGGCGAGGAGTGACGGGCCTGCAAGAGCGCCAAGGAGCATTGGGACTCCGTGGTGAAGATCGCTTGCCTGCCGGTCTGCCCGCCTGCTGCCCTGCCGTCGTGGCTAGACAGGTGACCTGATAACCTTTGGCTGAATCGCCTAGTTGCCTGCTTCACCGTTTGTCTGTCCGCACCCGGCGGCTTCCTGCCGCTTGCTTATGCATGCCGCAACTTCGTGTATGCACGCGGTTCTTGCTCGTCGCTACGGCCTGGTAATGGCAATGGCGTGCTGCTGCTTGCTGCGGCTTGGCTGTGCTGCGCAGTGCTGCTTGTCGCAGATTTGTGCTGCGTGCCTGGGTGGGCCCTGGGGCGTTTTGGAAGGAAGTTGGGCCTTCGTGGAAGCTTCTCGCGGAACAATTTGACCGCATGAGGGCGCTCCCATGGGTCTCTTCCGTGTCTCGTCGGAGCCCTCAGATGCCTGTGGAGGGGCCCTGGAGTGCCTGTTGGAGGCGTCCTCGGGGGCGTCTTGGGGCAGGTTCTCGACCATCGCCGTTCGTTCACCTGAGTGTGACACCTCACGATCAACCTGGTACTGCAGTTCACCTATGATACGTCGATCTTCGGCGATCCTGGAATCAATGATCCCTAAGGCGCCGTCCAGATCGTGGCGTATGGCTGCAGTATCGGCAGCGTTCGTCTGAACGCTCTGCAGTAGTCCAGAGTATTGCCTGGACACGAAAGTTTCAACCTGGTCTCTGAGCTCAGCTATTTCACCTGCGGCGGACGTTTCCGCTGGCTGGTCGTCTGAGATGGAGAGGTGGGGAGCGTCAGCTTCCCTGTGCCCCCTGTCGCGGGGAGTGCATGGCCTCTGAGAGGCAGTGCGCGGGCTCGACCTACTCTCGCCGTATGGGCCTGGGGCTCCACGGCGGTTGCGCGCGGACGAGCTGCGACTCGGACCATGTCTCATCCGATGATACCTTGGGGTACTGCGTCTGCGGCTGTGCCGCCACTGGTCTACTGAGTTCCTCGAAGGTGGCTACGTGCTCCGCCACGGGGACGGTCGCAGGGCTGGGGGTACCAGCACCTGAGGTCCATCGGCGGTTAGCGCGAAAGCGCCCTGGAGTGTCATGACCGGTGAGGCTTTCGCCTGACGCGGTTGGGATTGCTCCCGACGGGGAAGGGGATGGAGGATCGAAGGTAGGCGTGTGAAGCTCCTTCCTTCCTGTTCCTACTCCTTCTCCTGTCCCCCCGCGGGCGGCGCTGCGGTGAAGCTCAGCAGCTAGCCGCGCCTCGGGTCCGTCGGAGCAGGGGGGGGTATCTGGAACACCAACACAGTCCGCACTAAGGCTCTCCAACTCGTCACCGAGCCGTCGCGCCGTTGGAGAGCTCGGACGCGAGGCCTCGATGGATCCCTTGCGGCGCATGCGCCGCAGGGGCTCCATCGAGACCGCGTGCGAGATCACAACGTGCGGTTCGGTGAAGGTGAGCTTTAAAGGGCTGATAACCTGTGTAAGGGGCTGAAGTACAAGGGTACAGAACCCCTGATCCGTTGGTAGAGGGAAGGAGGGATAGATGGATGTCTTTCCCTCCTGCACGATCAAAGGTCTGATCGATCTGTCCCAATACCTGAGCCCAAACGGCCAGGCGCAGGAGAGGTAAGGATAAAGAGTATATATGAGGGTATTACACGGGTTCTATTCACAGGCGCAACTGAGGCGCTCCTCGAGCATCTTACGCGCAACCTCCACCTCCTTCGTGACCGTCGCCAGCTTGGTCTCGAACGTGGCCGCCGTGGACCGCGCCCGCTCCAGCCTGGTGGTGATGCTGTGCTGCTGGACGTGTGCCGGCTTCGCATCGTTGATGGCCTTGTGAATCTTGGCTGCCATCTCCTCTGCCAGCAATCTGTCCTCCTGATGAACTGAGGTGCGAGCCGCCCTCTGCCAGTGTGCCAGACGCTCCTTGGCCTCCTTCTGGTCGTCGGGCGGGGCCGTGCCGCCAGCGCTGTCACCCTCAGATCTCCACGGCGGGGGTGGAGAAGACGAAGTGTACGGCGCCGACTTCTTCTCGAGGCCCTCGAGGCGCCCCAAGATCTTCTTGAGCGTGGCGTCGAGAGGACTTCCCGAACTCCACTGACCCTTCGGCGGCGAACCCTTGCTGGCACCACCTGCGACCACCTGCTCATGGGCGGCCTTCGCACTCTTCTGGACCGATGGCGGAGCGGCCATGCCGCAAGCACACTTGATGCGAGACGCCCAGTTGCCCGAGCGGTGGTATTTCGTGCAAGCCCACAGCGGCTTCCGCGGCCCCAAAAGAACAACTCTCGAGCCCATGGACACTGCACCGAGAGTGGGTAGGTGCCAGAAAGCGTACTCACCCAGCCTTGGCAGGCACTGGGGGCGAGCACAGACGTGAAAACTGAAAGCTCGGGGGCCTTGAGCCGCCCCCTTGGCTGCGATCAAGCTCCAACGACGGGAGCAGCGTTGGAACTTGAGCCAAAATGGCTTGAGCCAAAATGGCTACGGACTGGGCACAGACCCCCGTTTGTTCCCGCCCTCCGCACCCCTCGCCCGCGCGCCCCCCGGAAGGCGCTGCTGAGGGCGGGAGGGTCTCCCTCGTGCACGGAGTGTGTGCCCCCCCCCCTGCCGGGCATGAGCGCCACGACAAGGAGCCACGCTGCGCCCTGCTGAC